AGTATTTATATGCACGCGGTTACTTCTCCTTCAATTGACCGACTTGCGTGACTGTTCTCAGCTTTCTATCATACATACAAGGCGTGCGGGTGAAGACACGAACGCCCGAAACATAGGAAATTAAAGGAGGGTAAATTTAGAAAAAAAATGTATTATATAAAATAAACTATATGGCGCCAACAGATTCCATTATTTTAGAGAACAAGGAGGCAATGACCATAAGCCTGTACTTTTATGGGTCCGAGCCGTCGCATTTTTAGGGATCTTCAATAAAGCTGTCTTCCATAAGTTCAGGATTACGTCTAGGGAGTAAGGGTACTGGAAAATACGCGTTAGAACCGGTTCTAACTCAGGAGCACCAGTCTTCAGAACAGTAGAGGGCACTCCATCAGGAACAATCGACTTGTTGACGTCCAGAGAGAAGATTCCTTTGCACACTGAACACTGTGTGCGCACATCTAGCGTGGAGCAATCACACCGCAGGATGGTTGGCGGTGTGTACCTTCCGTCATCGAGGGTCGAGTTGAACTTAAAAAGAGGACCCAAAAGATTACTTTCTACTTTGCGGCATGGTCCAGTCAGTCGTTCTTTCTGTGCAGAGATGGAAGTCTGACAGTAGTTTCCTTGGACACTCTTGGCAAAAAAATACCTTAATAAAATTAGAAGTAGGGAAGAGAGCTTGAGCAGTTTAAAAATATTCAAATCACGTCCAATCAGTCAACGATAGGCGAAATGCACCAAATAACTCAAAGTCTTATTTTTACAATCTATTAATTTGTTTTGTACCACAAATAAAGAAAGAACAACAAGTAAAATACTAGCCGCACTTACTCTATTATTTATTGAGAATATTACACCTATATCTATTCTTTATAAGTTGCTGCATGCAAAGGCAAGCTCAGCGCCCCCTCGAACCTTGCGCCTGTGGGTAAATCAGGTCCTGACGACAAGTGAAAATAAAGTTTTATTTATTCGACATGATATTTTGTCCACACGTTATCTTTACTGTGTAGTAGCGGTATAAGACTTATCACTTCACGGTGTCACTTCCACTATGGAAGGTATGGAGCACTCCATACCTCAAGTTTTTCAAGGTATGGAATTCCATAGCTGAAATTAGGAAATAAATCGCATATTACTACAAACCCCATATAAATAAATCGCAAGCCCTTAAACCTCAATACCCCACATCTTATAGTTCAATAAATAAGTTGAGTATATACACTGCAAACTCTTAAACCTTAATACCCCACGAGTAATGCGAACAAATTTGAAAATCGCGCCACCATTTTCCATACCTCAGATTTTTACAAAGTGACACGCCTGGTATAAGTCATATACTCCCGTGGGTGTCGTAAGAGCCGAAAGAGGGAAATCAGGAGGTGGGCAGCAGTTTCTTCTTAATAAGTACTAAAATTAAAAAACTGCGGTTGCCAACCCACTCACCAAGCGTGGCAACTATGGCCTATATCCTCTCTATGAGGCAATCTATAAGGAGACTTATCTTCGGCAGTGGACTTTAATAGGCTGTTACGGTAAATAACGCTGAAGTGATGGGAGGGATAGCAGCATCTCATAAGTTATAAAGTACATTAGCCCGAAATTGCGTACAATACTTTATTATAAAGTACGTGTGGCAACCACACAAGCGAATATTGACGAGTATGGAAACCGCGATACGAATACACACGAGCAGTCTTTTTTATTCGTGGCAAAAAGCGACATCGAGTGGAAAACATTGAGTTATTATGTATTAAGTACTAGAGGCGACACTGCACTAATTTACGCTGTCCTATTCAACTGCGGTGATATCGCCGCACTATACTCAGTCGCTCGCTAGGTGCTAGTGTGTTGACATAAGCTGTGTTGATTATATAAAAAAAAAATCTTGATAAAATATGCCATGGTGTGTTTTAGACATTGCGCAAATAATTCAAGAAATGCTAGCAAATACCAAGGAATAACTTTTCATCGCTGAGTAAGATGATGATGATTAAAACAGTATTATAGATTAATAATCAAGCAAATTATTCATATATAAGACGCCATCTCGGGTCATGGAATATAGATTATAAAATTAATTTGTTCAGGTGCGATGTTTCTGTAGGTATTTAAGTACGAGGAAAATTGTGCCAAATATAATATTTTTTTTGTAGAAGCAAATATAAACAGTTACAATTGCAGATATTTTGATGCTGGTCAGGAGCGGAAGCAGCAACTCATAAAGAGCCAGCAACAAAATAAAATAGATCGATAAGCTGCACAAAGTAACTAGTTAGTAATTATTTGTGTGCATACTATATTTACATGAAAATTATAGGAAAAATAATAGCAGATATTTTGTTGCTGGTCAGTTATAATAGCAGCAAGTAATAAAAAGCCAGCAACAAAATAAAATCGATCGATAAGCTGCACCAAGTTATAAGTTAATTATTATTTGTGTATATGTTATATTTTTATGAAAATTATAGGAAAAAATAAAGCAGATATTTTGTTGCTGGTCAGCAATGGAAGCAGCAAGTTATAAAAAGCCAGCAACAAAACAAAATAGATTTATAATAGAAGATTAGAAAGATTTTTTTTATATAGTCAACACAGCTTATCTCAACTCACTAGCACCTAGCGAGCGACTGAGTATAGTACGGCGATATCACCGCATGTGAATAGGACAGCGTAAATTAGTGCAGTGTCGCCTCTAGTACGTAATACATAATAACTCAATGTTTTCATACATTTAATTTTACTAAGGAAGTCCCACCTATTAAATTTAGTGATTATACACTCTTTGTTGACAATTAACAAATTTGGTTTTATTATCTTTTTGCACTTAGTTTTGTTCGTTTTATGATACAGTACGCCATTTTGGAGAGTATTATCGGTCGACAAAACGAAGACTAGTAAAATTGGAACTCTTTTGACTCGGACACTTGAGCGCAAAGCCGAAGTCCATTTAGTAGTAGGTCAATGTTTATGATATGATTTTAAATGTTTTTAATAGAAAAAAGCATGCATCACAATAAAAATACTTACATATGAAATATTCCCTTTTGTCTTTTTTTGCGGTAGCACCGCAGAAATAACTTTATTTGAACGTCGTAACGTTTTCAAACGTGGTAGTCATGCTTGCGCTTTTAAGGACTGTGTTATGGTTGTAATTATTAATTAATTAGTTCTTTTATCAATAAATATGGGTGTCTGTGAGCCACAGTATCCACTTAACATCAGATGGACTGTGCTCATTTGTCACCCTTATTCTATATAAAAAAAGAGCCATGACTATTTTTACCGATTAATTGATATTTTGATAAAACTAGCGTCATTCTCAACGCGTTTGTCCAGCGTAACTCTCATCTGAACGGCAGACATGTGTAGAGACAGTTCTGATATTGCCCCGATCGCTGTTCATCCCAGATTGACCCAGCGGCACGCAAGTGAGTAGCCACCTTAAGACCGAAACAGACCAGACGATTTTCACACACAACCAGTCAAATCTCAATTTCTTGATTCCGCTAAGGGACTGACAGCTGCCAACTAGCGCCACGAACAGGTTTAATATTATAACTTCTAAATCAGAGCATGTCTTAGTTTTTCTGATTTAGAAGTTATAATATTATTAGTGATAGATAAGTATACCTTTTTACTGGTTATCATTAATTCGATGTTTTATGAAAATACACCGATACATCGAGTACATCAATAACTTTCCAAAACATCAGATCGATTCGACGCACCGTAATGTAAAGATCGAGTGAAATCGATGTATATCGAATAGGTAATAAACAAGAACTACACAATATGATGCATCAACAGCATTGTGAAGCAGTGTACTATGAAGGATATTTATACATTGTAACTTCAGGCCATGGAGTATAGAGTAGACTCTATCTATACTCCATGCTTCAGGCTCAGAACTTCTGAGTAAGAAAGGCTAGAACCCAGAGCCGTAAAGTCTGTTTAAAAAGTATAATTTTAATAATCTAGGCCGCGTAGTGTTTCTATATATTTTGTGATCTAGGCTTAGCGCTTAGTGTATAGGACAGTTACTATACTCTTTGGCGCTTAGCGAGGCTTAGTTATAACTTGTACATATGTAATTTATATTAGTTACTTAATGAATAACGGTGATATTGTTGTTAAAATATTCTAACGGAATATAATAGGAAAATGCTTTTGTAGTAATAATAACATAGGTAGAGCCATAGCTTAATTTATTGTCTTCTTTCTTATAGCAAGCAATTTAGTAAGATGTAAGTATTTATATGATATTTCCTGTTAAGTATAGTGATCAATCGCCCCGCCTAAGGGTATTAGTGTTCTGTGTCAATCGCTTTCTGTTTTTCATTTGTAAGATATGATATGTGTAATCAATATTATGTATCTGTGAGGATTGTGAAGATAGTTATGTTGGGACTGTTCATTTTATGATGTCTTTATGAAATAAAGTTAACCTGCTTCCAAATCAATATATTTTATCAAATTTTACCTAATACTTCTATAGAATGCCCAGCTATATTATCTTTATTAATAGTTAACGTATTATTCTTTAACCAAATCTAAACTCGTTTATTTATCTGTACAATATGTCGGAGACTTTACACGAATATTAATTATCTTTTTTCTGTATCAGATAACAATTCTTCAGGACAAAAGATATAGCACAAAGGTTATTACAGACTTTATTACTGATTCATTTGTATTTTTTGCTTTTTTGCATTTTTTGCATAACATTTTTTTAATGTAATAGAAAGTTTCAACTGAATTATACTTTTAAGAATTTAAAAATTATATATTATGCAGGTTATGTTGCATAATAAAATTTCTATCTATTTTACACACTACATACATAAAGTAATTTTTATTGTTTGACAATGACAACTAAAATTGCATTTATTTTAATTTATATTGTCAGTATAAAATTTCTTTAAGTATTTAGTGTATATTCATTATAATTATGACATATTTTATTTATTAAATATACTTGTCCTATTTTCAGATACAAGATGTTTGGCATTGCTCTATCTTTGTTGAGTTGGGTGGGTCTAAATCCAATCCCATACATTGCTCCCTTAATAGGAACCACAGAACCAGCTCTAAAGTTACTAGTATCAATTTTAATGGGATATCCTTTGGGAATAGTGTATAATAAATATGTTCGAAAGTATGCTGAATTTCGAAATTTGTATTTCATTGTTACTGGTATTGACATGGCTTTTTATAATTTTGGATCAGCACTTATACACAATACTATCCCAGCTATCGTCATCTATTTTACTACACTGTTGTTTGGCCCTAGCAAAATGAATACGATTATTACTTTAGTATTCAATATGACATATCTTCTAGTGGGATATATGATGACAGAATCTGAAGACTATGACATAACTTGGACTATGCCTCACTGTGTTTTAACTTTAAAGCTAATTGCTTTATCTTTTGATCTATGGGATGGTCAAAAGTTATCAAGAGGCATAGAACTTTCTGCAACTAGTAAAAAAACAGCACTTACTCAACCACCATCATTCATTGAACTTATAGGCTTTGTATATTTCCCTGCTTGTTTCCTTGTGGGTCCCATTTTCTCTTTTAAGCGATATATGGATTTCTTGTCTGACAAATTCCCATTGGATAAAGAATCTGGTGTTTATGAACAGCAAGCTATACAGAGGTTAATTCAAGGTGTTGCTTATTTAATCACATTTCAAGTCGGAGGTAATTAATTTTTTTTTTTGACAATATAAATTTTTTTTTTTAATTAACAACAACAATACTTATTAAATTTTAATATTTGCTTAAACTTAGGTTGCTTTAAATGTATACGTTTTTCTTTGTCTATTTTACTTTAAAAAAATCTAAAGTTAACATTCTGTATCTACAGCATTTGTGCCAAAGCAACTTAAGGGGACCAACCGGAGTGTATTTAAATTTATATTTTTGTTAAATTTAGATAATTTTATAAGTCCATATTTTATTCACTCCATTTATGTAATTTTGATCCATTTAATCAAGAATTTAGTACTCTTTTTTTATGGAATAAGGGTGACAAACGAGTACAGAGCCCACCTGACGGTAGGTGGATGCTGTGTGTCCTTAGACATCTACATTTATCCTCAATTAAGAATCAAAATGCAGATGCATTGTCACCCCTGAGGACTGAGATGGAATGTGTCATCTCTAGTAAAAAGGATCTCTGGTTCTCTATGCTCACCATACGAAGCAAAGCAGCATTCAGCTGTTATTTTATGAAGGTATTCTGTGAGAGTGTGTTTCTACCCTGGTTGAACCAACCCATTTGTGCTACAACCACAATATAGCTGCAGTGTGGCTCTACCATTTGTTAACATGTGTTGTCTAACATATAATGGAATACAAATTTCAGTGCTGCAAAGATGACATAGTACTTGCTGAAGTACTATGTCATCTTTGCAGCACTGAAATTATTGGCAATAAATGGGAATATTATTTTAAAGATTACAGTCATGTACATAAATGATTTAAATAAAAACATTCCATCAGCATAGAAGTAGCTCCCCAGTTATTTGATTGATCAACCTTAATGAACATAAAAAATTACCTAATATCCATTAAGTAAAATGCATAAAGTAGGTATAACAAGTTTTTAATTAATCTTATAACTAACCTCAAATATATTTAGGAAACAAATAAAAACACAGTATAAAGTAGTAATAAATTTTTTAATCATTTAAGATTAATAAGCTTCAAAAAATTTTAATATTTGTCCCTGGTTTGAATCCTGCTAGTAGTAATAAAATGATGGGTACGACTTTCCATTGACGTCTGTCGAGTTTGGTGTTGATACGTATTTTTACAGAAAGATTACATTTTTATAAGCACACACAAAATTTCAATATGCGGAAACACGTACTTTTTGAGAAAAAAATATTGAAAATCAAATATTTTTGCAATATTTATGTCAATTCCTACCGTGAAACTGACGCCATTTTTTTTAATTGTCAGTAGGGATGTCGATTGTTTCCGAAAAAGATCGATTTTTTAAATAGATTCGAATTGTAAGCTGATGTATCGATTCCCAAAAAATCGATTTCTAAAATATCTATATTTTTTTCATGTTTGCATTTAGGTATAATGTAAATATAAATAAATTTTATGAGAAAAAAAATCCCTTCATCATAAAAAAATAAGGGGACTGATTCAGAAGGATTTCTGTATTTATTTTGAGACTGCTACGTCTCCGGCGCTGCGGGAAGAGCAGCCTCTACGCCTTAGCGTAACAAATCGCAGGCATCCCTCCTCGCCTCCGCAGCCTCAGCTGCTCCGGCTCGTCCGGTGCCTACGATTTGTTACAGCAGGCGGAGGCTGCTCCCCCTACGCGCCTCCGGCTCTATAAAACCACTCTAGGGGTAGGACAGACTCGTACCAGGTGGAGTCGGGGTCAATCAATTCGGTTCTTTGACATAAGTCGAACCTAACCTATTTTATTTGTTATCTGCCCTAATAGGTACAGTTAAAATAAAACAAATTTCAATAAGAGATCATTTATCATGGTATCTTTCTTGTTTTTCATAAAATGGGTTTATATTTACATTATAAATGCGAACATTAAAAAATATAGATATTTTAGAAACCGATTTTTTGTGAACCGATACATCAGCTTACGATTTGAATCGATTTAAAAATCAACCTTTTTCGGAAAGAATCGTCATCCCTATTGACCCCGACAATGACATTACAAAATGGCGCCAGTTTTACGGTAGAATTAGATATAAACATTGCAAGAATAATTGATTTTCAATAATTTTTTTCTCAAAAATTACGCGTTTCCGCATGTCGTCAATGGAAAGCTATGCCAAAAATAATAATTTAAAATACTTTATTTGAAAATTAATAATTATTTCGATCGACCTAAAATCTTGAGTAAACCTGATTGAGGGATCAAATATGCCTTGAAATCCCCCAACAAACAATTTACAAAACAAGCAATTTCCTTTTATTATTTACTATGTTAGTGTTACTTTAAATGAACATCACTATTTTACTGTTTTTTACTTATTACAAACTAGCTGTTTCCCGCGACTTCGCCCGCGTGTTATTTTGGGGTTTTAATTTTTTTGCGCGGAACCCTAATTCTTTTTCTAAAATAAAAGTAGTCTAAATTACTCCTTGTGACATCAGATATCTGCCAGTGAAAATCCTGTCAAAATCGGTCCAGCCGTTTCGGAAATTAGCCGGAACAAACAGACAGACAGTCAAAAACATCAAAAACATTAATAAACATTTTTGTTATTAGTATTGTATATACTTTCATATGCATTTAGTAAAGGCTGTAATTTTGACATTACAAACAGACACTTCAATTTTACTTATTTGTATAGATTAGTGCTTAGCTACTTAAGAAAGTGATGTTGATAACTATGTTGTAGCCTGTTTTGGTATTTGGTAAAGTGCACTGACTTTTTTACAAAAGTCTATTCACACCTGGATTGTTATTGGATGGTAAGTGGATACTGTGGCCCATAGAATAGAAACCTACATCTAGCCTTGATTAAAAATCAAAATACAGAATCATTATCACCTGTGAGGATTAAGATAAAATGCCTTGTTAGCAGTAAAAGAGGATTCCTGTGACTCAACATATAGAACATAACAGCAAAATTTACCGCTTGTATTCTGTGCTAAAGTAGTCGTTCCCATAGCCATTACATGGTAGAGCCACGCTGCAGCCAATATAGCTGCAACATGCAGCATTTGTATTTATTGTTCACTTAAACTGTTTTAAAATATTTTAGAACATGTAAATTATTATTTAATATTTTATTTTCAGTGACTGTTTTTAATGTTAAATATATGCTGTCTGATGAATTCTGGGATACTTCGATAGTTTATAGACACTTGTACTGCGGATTGTGGGCTCATTTTGCTTTATATAAATACATTTCGTGTTGGCTACTTACTGAAGGTAATTATTTAGTTTCATTATCAATTAAATTAGTATATAAGTACTTACTATAAACTTAACTTTTGAGTTTGTTTGAGTTGAAAAATGATAGTTTTTAGTTGAAACTTTAAAATATTTTAAATTGATTTAATTTGCATTTATCTTTACCTTTTTAAATTGATATGAATATAAGAGATAGTGTAAAATCGAAAGTTCTGAAAATAGAGATAGTTTACCACCCACACTTACTAAGGGTCGAGATGTAAGTGAGTAAAATTGTTAATTAGTATGAGAAATTATAATGTGTTCATCCACACACAAACCAAGTGGACAACCACGTCGCTCAAAATCGACAAGCTTCTTTGGAATGGTCCTTAATATTCGTAATCGCACCTGGAGTAGACTACACATCGCATTTTCGACATCGCAATCATTATCGTATTTTCGAAATAAATAATCCTCCTATCGCAACTGAATCATTAGTTCGACCCCGTTCATCCGTTTCCGACCGTTCATGCATCCATTAGCTCGACCATTCTCTGTTATTTAAGGCCACACATTTTATTAACTTCTCGGAGGATATTGACCATTATTATTCACATATAAAGACTGATTTCCCATAGATCATTTTAAATTCTATTGGAATGCCAAACTTCGAGAACATTCCAGCGCAACATGATGCAACGTGCAACTGGAGGACGTAACATTACCTCTCTGCTCGATGTAGTTGACCCGATCGTCTTTCGTGCCGTGCTATTGTACCTATTAGTCGATCAATGTATACAACCTTAGGTTTCCCTCTTTGCCCTTTCTTGATACAGTATATGACTACACTTATCCTTTTAACCAATTTGTAAGGTCCTTTCCATCGAGCTTGCATCTTGGTACTCTTTTCATTTTTTTGAGAGTATTATGTAATTGCAACCACATAAAGAGTTAATAAAGCTTTGTTTTTCTGCTAAGCAAGCAAAAACAAAAACAGCACTAGTTTCACGATTATTCTCCATGCCATACCGTTCCTTAGATTGCGGTAAAACTTTATCAACTTATTGCTTTTACTTGCGCGAAGGTTATAGACATTGTACAATTAACTTACTGTAGTTGGCGCGCCGACAAATTTATTTGAAAGTTATATCATCATCATTATAAAACCTAACTAATAACATTATTAACCTAATTAAACATTATAACTCTTCGAAATTTGAAACGATATTTCCATTTCTTTTGTGACAGCAACGCTTCGGGTACCACCAGCCAGTAGATAATAAAAAAGCCCCTGCGTTGGCTCGCCCGCCTCGCGCATGATAATAGCAATGTTTATCATCACAAGTAGCACAAAGATACAAAGCTTTAGTGTGCTTGCAGCGATAAGCAACGCCCGACACACTGGTTGTGAAAGAAAAGCGACAGTCGCTATTGCGAGACCTTTTCTTAATATTTATCAACTCCCGTCGAATATAGGATGACACAAAAGAAACAAGAATGTACTGTTCCTAATTCCTTTGATGTTTATCAACTAGGGCCAGGCTTTTTTTCCAGGGCTCGAATAAACCTTTCAACCATTCCATCTGACTGAGGATGTGTTCAATGTGTTACGCGAGTTTTATGTATGCCGAGAGGGATCTCTTGAAAGAGAACCTATACGAAATTCCTTCTTTGATCGGAGTGTATTTCCAAAAGTACATCATATCGGCATATCACTTCTTGAACTAATTTCCTTGCAACTGTTGGAGTTTCTTGATGTGGCGTTGCATAGACTTCGGGCTATTTGTCGAAGTAATAGGTGCAGCATGATCAATGTTATATACTCACTATTCTTCCTGTTTAAAAAAAAAACTATTAACCATAAACATTTATACCCACGATAATAACTGTGTCACTTAAAGCTTTTGTAATATAATCACTACCTACTATTTACATTATGTACATGTATTATGTTCTCCTTATCTCTATTAAACTCTTATTATTTATATCAACACTAGCTGGTCAGGCAGACGTTGTTCTGCCCTTTCCGACGACCATTTGCTTTCCTAAAAAAAACTCCTGAGATTAGCAATAAAAAAATTGAGGGTCACTTATCGGGATAAAAGCTATCCTATCTTTCAAATTGAACCAAACAGCACACAGTGTGCAAATTTTCATTGAAATCAGTTCAGTAGTTTAGGAGTCCATTGCGGACACACAATGTAACACGTAATTTTCATATATAAAGATTACACGTGCGTGACAATTTTTGATGATGACGTATTTATATATAATTGTGTTTTAAAATTGTAACAATTTTTTATTCTTGCTATGGTCGGCGTACAGAAAATATATTTTCGAACTCTAACTGATAGTTATAATGTTTATCAAAAGGTCAAATGCAAGAATGTGTCCACTCAAACAATGAATATGAATTTTAAATCAGAAACATATTATTAAGTACATTTAGATATAGAGTCATTAAAAGTTCATTGTATTTAAATTGACACAATAATTTATTTAAATTACTTTTTAAAGTAATATCCGATAAATGCTTGATTGCACAGTTCAGGAGTTTATTTTATAGCCGACTGACGCGACGGTGACAACTTGAAAACACTGTCGAAAGATATCATGAAGTATGCTGGAGATATAATAGTGCCGTAAGTGTATGTGCTGACAGCGGGTCATATTAGTGCATCTACTAATATGACATAATCGTGCCCGATGTAAATACGCATTAACATTCGGAATATTCTAGGTTAAGACGTAGATATGGGGCAATAACAAGGAAAGCAGACTTGCAAAGCAACAATTTGTATTTCTGCGCAAATAATGTTTGTTGTCGTTACTCTAATGTGTGTGGAAATGCACAGTGACCCCATATTCACGAATAGGTTCTTGATCCCGACCCCGCATTTCTCTTTATGGAAATTGCTAATATCTTAAGGAGTTTGGGTTGGGAAATAATTGACTATCACACCATAATACTTAGCATTTCTTTTGGTCTTACGTTCATCATCAAGCAAAACAAATACTTTAAATTTGTTTAATATTCCCTCTCTAGACTATTCTGCTTTTAATTTTAATCCATTTGACGGTTGCGATATGCTGACAGAGCCATTTCATTCATCCATTCGTATTCAGTAGGTGGTTACTGTATTGGTCGTAAAATGGTCTTTCCTCTCCTGAATCATCTTACGCCTGTTATCCGAAAAGATGCCAATGTGATCCTTGTGCGATATATAAAAAGACAAATTCTAAATGTTTCTCCGTTTACTGGCAAATTTCTTTACTCCCTTTCCTATTTAAAGTGTTACAATTTCTGGTATTCAAGCAATTAAGTTCTTACGTACGAGATATATCCTTTTCAATCCCTTACAATTCAGCTTCAATAAATCATATAAAATGTGGCTTTGCGGTCTTATTAAATTTGAATGTTCTAATTTCATATCATTTTTGTACGTAGTAGAGCCATGCTACAGATACATTAACCGGTTCAGTGCGGGTGACACGCCAAGCGTGCCGTCGATTACTGTGACGCTTGACACGCCCGACTTGTCATGAAATATTTGTTCGCCGCCACAGCTAAAAGTTGTCGAAAATTGGTGCCGCAACGAATCGGTTAATAGTATATCTGTAGCACGAATGGGTCGGCTCGACCGGGGAAGGACCACGCTCTCACAAAATACCAGCCTAAAATAGTAGCTTAACGCTGCTGTGTGTTGGTGAGTGTAGAGAACCGGAGACTCTTTTTATTGGAAAAGAGGCATTCCATATTAGTCCTCACGGCTGACAACGCATCTTCATTTTATTCGCAAACGCGGATAGATGTAGATGTCTATGGACCACAGCAACTACTTACCATCAGGTGGACTGTGTGCTTGCTTGTCAGCCTTATCATATAGAAAAAAATATCTATATTATTGTAGCTGCATAAACTACTGATTACATTTTATTAGGTTTTAGTTTTTCCTCATAACTTCATACTTAAGCGTTTGAAGCATACTATTAACATAACTAGTTATTCAATATTTTAGAAAATGTTTATCGAGACCACTACAAACGACTACTAACCACTACGAGGGCGGCACTGAAAATTTCGGGAATCAAGGAAGTGACACAACATTACTATTTAAAAATGTATTTATTGCTTTTCGAAGTATTCTCCGCGAAATTTGACACATTTTTCCATGCGATGGAACCAATCATTGAAGCAACCATTCCATTCGGAAGTTGGGGTTTCCAAAATGGCCATTTTGTAGGCGTCCACAGCTTCTTCAGGTGATGAAAATCTATGTCCATGCAATTTATTCTTTATTTTAGGGAAAGTATAGAAATCATTAGGGCTTAGGTCGGGGCTGTACGGCGGATTGTCTAATAATTCTATGTTTTCTTGCTCTAAAAACTTTTGTTCTGTGTGCGGTGTGAGAACTCGCATTGTCGTGATGGAGGATGATGCGGTGGTTGCAGTTCTATTTACGGAGTTCAGAAACGACCTGTGGCAAACAAATGCTAGCATACCATTCTGCATTAACCGTTCTTTGTACCTCAAGAGGAATAGTCGTAACATGGCCGGTTTTGGAGACAAACGTGGCCACCATTTTTTTTGCAACACTCCGTGAACGAACAATTTTTGTTGGTTTTAACTCATTTTTGAACACCCAAACTCGTGACTGGTTTTTTGTTTCGGGTTCGTACGCGTATATCCAGGATTCGTCACCTAATACGATGTTGTATACATATCGGGAAAACAATTTTTTTACACCTAATTGTTCATACAAGATTATTTGTATTTCACTCATGCCAATGTCTAAAGTTGCCTGAATTTCGCGGTATGTCACATGTCGATCTTCCTCAATCAGCTTACGCACAGCATCAACGTTTTCTTGGGTGACTGCAGTTTTTGGACGACCTTGACGGGGATCATCACTGAGCTTGACACGTCCACGTTGAAATTCAGCAAACCAGCGATAAATTGTAGTTTTGGATGGGGCTTCATCACCAAATGCAGAAATCATCCGGTCAACACACTGTTTTTGTGTTAAATCACTTCGAGAGTCATAATAAAACATCGCTGTTGAATTTTCTCGAGTCAATTTCATTTTCTCAACGACTAAACAAGTTTGACAAAACCTTGTGACAAGACCGAGAATCTTTTTTTAAATAAATAAATGGTATTCGATTTTTAAAAAACCAAGGACTTTTCAATTAAAAAAAATTAATATGACAGGAACAGTGGAAATATTTAATTCCCGATACGTTTAGTGCAGCCCTCGTACTAATTCCCTCCTTCCAACGGATAGGTCTTAAGATGAACATGAACAAAACAGAGATCACGTGTAAAGTTAATTTCACACCTATGCCGGTAGTTGTTGGGAGCGCTAAGCTCGAAGTTGTTGACGATTATGTTTACCTGAGACATATAGTCTAACTAAGTAAGACCAATTTCGAACGAGAGGTCAACCGACGCATTCAACTCTGCTTGGTTGCGTTCAGGAGATTACGACACATCTTCTCGTCAGCCATACCTCAAAACTAGATTGTACAACCAGTTCGTGTAGCCAGTGTGCGTAGCCAGTGTTGACTTATGGATCTGAAACGTGGTCCTTCACTGCTGGCCGTATGAGGAAGCTCAAGGTCGCTGAGCGAGCTATGGAGAGGACTATGCTCGGAGTTTCTCTATGTGATAAACTTAGAAATGAGGACATCCGCAGCAGAACCAAAGTTACCGACATAACGGATTAGTAAGCTGGAGTGACAATGGGCGACCGTATGGCTCGAAAAACCTTTTTTAGATCCGATACCGATGAGCCGGTGGCGTTACCTATAGTTTTGTAGACTTAATTTTGCGCCAAAATGGGTTAAAGCGACGTCGTTTCAGAAAAACTAATGTCTTTTGATTGAAGCACATTTCTGAGGATGGCAACTTAAATCTTTGAATGTATTTATCCAATTGTTATGTTACACACATGCTATTTGCATAAAAAGTTATTTTATTAGTACTGTTTGATATTGTTTAAATAAATGCATATAAGACTAAATTAAACGAACCTTTTTTTGCAGCTTCATGTATAAGATTTGGAATATCACATAATGGGATGGAGAAGACTGTCAATGGAGATATATCGAAGTGGGATGGTTGCAACAACATTAAACTACTCCGTTTCGAAGGTGCAACGAAATTTCAACATTATATCGACAGCTTTAACTGCAACACTAATCATTTTGCTGCGGAATACATCTACAAGCGCCTAAAGTTCCTGGGTAACAGGAATCTTAGCCAACTGTTCACACTGTTGTTTTTGGCTTTATGGCATGGTATCAGATCAGGCTACTATGTTACCTTCTTCAATGAATTTATTATAATGTTTATGGAAAAGGAGTTTGAGAGCATTATAAGCAAAACAGAAATTTATAAGCAAATGTGGAGTAACTCTATAATAAGCTATTTTCTGTATGCTTTTCTGAAAATGTATACCATTATTTTTATGGGCTGGAGCTTAGCTCCATTTGATGTAAAAGTAATTTCGAAATGGTGGAGAATATATTCTAGTCTTTACTTCTCAGGATTTATTGTGTTTTTGCCTTGGGCATTTCTCTATAAGCCACTGCTTATAAAATCCCTAAAATATTTCAACATCAAAAAAGTTGAACAAAATACTCAATAAAAGGTATATAAATAACCAATTTATTATATTATATATTACTACTGCTAATGAGCTTCGACTTTTCGCTTTTTTAGCCATGCTCACTATATCTTCAATATTTATAAAACTTGGATTAATATATATGCAACTTATTCCCTATCCCAATTACTTCACGTGCCTATTCATTTTATAACTTATTGTATTAGTAGAAACATAGTTTTTATGTACACAAGTTTAAACAAAAGTTTTTGTTTGGTGTTCTGAGATATGTTCCAGATTAACATATTTTAGCTAACAATTGTTTAGATAAGCATATTTGTCTTGTCAGCGCCTTAAATATTTCTTTTAAACTTGTCTGTTAATGTATGTTTTTAGAATTCTGAAATGGTTAAGTTGCTTCATTTTGGTATTATACAATTATTATATTAGAAATAGGTTTTTGAAATGCATTGTGTAATTCAAACAAATTAAAATTTGAAATTTGTACATTCAATCATAATTTCTGTATTTGTACCAACATAAGCATAGGGATTGTGCACAGAAGCTATGTTGATCTGATGTATTTATTCTTTTTCTATAAAAGTGAAGAACTTGTAAAAATTGTGTGTGCTTGTAAATTCTACAATTAATTCGCACACAATATCCAAACAATAGAATCAATTTTATTTTTAGAATTAAAAAAGATCATAACATTTTGTTTAAATTATATAAAATTGTCTATGCAGTGGCGTGGCGTGGAGGGGGGACGGCATGTATTGCAGGGAAGGGTCATAGCCTCGTGTGCTAGATTTTAGGTAACTTATATATATATATATATATATATATATATATATATATATATATATATATATATATATATATATATATTGTTTTATTCGTTTTAAAATAATATACGCAGTCTATAGAAGACTGCCTGGTTTTATATTTTTAAATATTTGTGAAAATTGGAGAGGGAAGTTAGGGGTGGCGGCATTTTTAGACAACGACCCATGCTACGCCACTGGATCTAGATATATTTTGAAGTTTCCTTTAGACGTGATTTGAACTATTACCCTTGAGAAATGTCCATTATGAGTTATCAAGTAATTTTTCTTTTTGTATATTTTCATGTTGAGTGCAATAGCATGTAAGCCACTTTTTAAGGTACTTTTTGAATACTTATACTTTTTGAAGTTTATAAACAAAACTCACACCCACAGAAATTTAATCTAAGTTAATCTTTATTTTCAAATTAATATAAAACGGTTGACGGATCTACAAAATATCAAGTCGAATTTTCATTACGCCTTTTTTTGCATTAAATTTTAATAACAAATGATAATCACAAATAAGTATGTGTTGTAATAAATATACACTCATGGACAAATTTAGAGGAACACGAAAAAGAGGTTTAGTTTCTTCTGTTGTATCTATCGTACTGGTCACAAACATTAGTAAACTCTATTAAAAAAGAAAGTTTTGATTTTATGTAATTTTGCGTAATACTGTGTTCTTTCATACTGTGAAAAATGTTGCCAGCTTTTAAATTTAGGTAAAACTTTTGCCTTGACTGCTTTCTTAAGTGTGAATTTTTCTTTCTTGCTGGAGCTGTTACTTTAATTGAAACTAGGCACACCTACAAACGTGGCCCAAACATTTTAAGCATCAATATCTGTGGTACACCGAGTTGTCAAGAGGTATGGGGAGACCGGAAAATATAGATGTGCCAACTCGGAAAAATTTGGAATCGAGTTAACTCCAGTTGAAATTCACGCAACTCGAGTTAGCAGCGAAACAGAGTGAATGATTTATTACAAATAACTTTTTATAAACACGTTTTTCTATTTAGCTCTGGTAGATTGGGATAACTATAATTACCAAACTATTATGAAGGATTTAAATAAAAAGGTATATATAGTATCACACATTTTTGGTTTTAATCTTAGTTATAGTGAGTATCTGCATTTAACAATAAAACTAGCTATATAGCAGTCTTCATGAAACAATATTAGCCTAATTTTAAGATGTAGGTACTTAAGCTACTAATAATTTAATTATCACAATGAAAATATTCTTTAATAAATTCACATTTTTACAAATTCTTTTTCTTTTACATATAGAATTAGGGTGACAAACGAGCACACAGTCCACCTGATGGTAAGGGGATGCTGTGGCCCATATACATCCACATTTATCCTCAATTAAGAATCAAAATGTAGATGCGTTGTCACACCTGAGGACTGAGATGGAATGCCTCGTTTCCAGTATCTTCGGTTCTCTACACTCACCATACGAAACAGCAGTATAAAACTGCTATTTTACGTTGGTATTCTGTAATAGCGTGGTCCTATCCCGTTCGAGCCGACTCATTCGTGCTGCAACCACAATACCACGTTATTCAAAATATTTATTGTAAGTTTAGTATTACATTTGGTGTTAATTTCAAATATGATGTATCTTACAACTTGACCACCCTTTTAGAGTATTAAAATAATAGGTCTGTGACCTAAATAACTATATTGATTACGATTAATCAAAATTATAAAATAAATTAAATTACATGACTTAGCTATTATAAAATTCTAAATAATGAATTGTTTTGCTTGTAGCTAAATAAACATTAAGCGCGCGCACAACGAACGAATCGCACGTTTACTCTTTTGCTGGCTCACTTGATCCGTTAATGTGCAGCAGCCCAAACTCGAGTTAGGGAGATCCAACTCGAGGTGAGCCATCTCTACCGGAAAATATACGAGACTCGCAGGACACGGACGTAAACGGAAAACTGTGGCCAGAGATGACCAGCACATGTTACCAGCGTGCTTATAAAATGACGAAGCTTGGAGTCAAGTTCTATTCAGAGATAAGTCCAGATTTTACCCTTAGGAAAGAGGCATATGGTGGAGGGTCAGTTATGCTATTGAGAGGTACTTGTGTGGAGGCACGTACGAAACTGCGTCATTGCGAATGGGTCTGAGATTTTGGAAGAAATTGTAGTGTCATTTGCCCATTTTGTATTTTTATGTATGATAATGCACGCCCCCATACTGTGACCGTAGTTGTCGAATACCTTCGAGACGTTGAAATCAATGCTATGGGGTGGTCAGCACGCTCGCCTGACCTAAACCCCATACTTCATGTATGGGATAAGCTTGAAAGACAAATTCTACCCCCGCTAATTTGAGAGATCTTAAAAACGCATTACGGAAAGAATGGAACGCAATCTCTCAAGATTTTATTGATAACTGGATTAGGAGTGTGCCAAGAATACTGGAAGCAGTTCGAATGGGGGGGGGGGGGGCAACACTAAGTATAGCCCACGCTATATAGCCTTTCCTAAGCATTTATGACGAAACTACAAAAAATGTTTATTTCTTGTAAAAATTTTTTTCTTAATTTGGTTAATTCTTGTCATTTAATAGATTTTTTTGACGTTTGGAATTTTAAATTAACGAATACTAAGCAAAATCCGTATTAATAAAAATATCCATGATATTTTGTTTTATACATACTTTTTGCGTCCCTCTGAATTTGTCCATGAGTATATTGTAAGTTAAAAGTGTAAAGTGTAAATAATAGTAAATTATTACTAAATGGATTATCGCACTTAAAACTATTAATAAATTTATATTTTAAGCAAAACTTATGTATGGAAATTAATTTTCTTTTATGAAAAACTATTCCTATGTATGTTCATACCGTTCTTATCTTACTTTGCATGTAGTTTAAAAAAGCGATAATTTAAACACTAAACTTATATTAAAAATAAAAAAAACCAGCAACAACTTTGTCAGCTCTAATATAATAAGTGTTAATATTTATTTAATTTAAAAATCAAGAGTAAATAAGTATAAACTACCAGGTATTTACTTACAGTATACTTAACCAAGCTATAGAGCGTGCGTAGGTATTGCTCATTGCCCTTTATGCTAAGCGTAAGCAGATGTTCTATAGACACTGAAGGCGGATTTATATTTGCCTGACGTGTTGTGTCGTGACGGGCTCTGACGTGATGGCTAGTGTTTACATCTTTATGTTGTGTTCTGACGGCCTCTGACGATATTTTGAATCAATACAGTCATAGCTCTTGGAGAGTTCATACGTTTACAATGTTTTCCCATGAATCATCCGACTCTGATTCAGAGTATGAAGAAGATATTGAATTTTTGGTGCTGGCAACTCTTATAAAAAAGAAAGAAATAAAGAGAAGAAGATATTGGGTTCATCCAGTGAATAATAAAAGAGAGTCTAAAGGCGAGTTTCACTGTCTCGTTAAAGAGATTGAGAACGATGCTCAAAGATTTCATCAGTATTTTAGAATGTCCAAGGCACAGTTCGAGGAAGTTCATTCATTGATTGAAGGGGACATAAAAAAAATACATACGAAGTTTAGTAAACCTATAGGGACAAAAGAAAGACTTGCTGTGTGTTTAAGGTAAGGATTTATTTGTTTTTTTTTTTAACATTATTAGTAAAGACAGGTAATCAGTTATCATCAGAAAAGTCTGCATTGCTATAATATGATGAGATGTTATCTTCTTCAAAATTATAAAGTGTTGAGGCCGATTGTTGAGAGTTGATGTTGTCGAGAGTTGGTGTAGCTGGGACTGCTGGAAATGTCGTCATGGATGTGGATGGTGGAATGGGTAGCTGGAGTGGCAGCGGTTGTTGTGGCCGAGTAACTATCTGGTGAGTCACATTAATTGGTGTTCTAAGAATTTGTGCTTGTGTCTGAAGTTTCCTTATTTCAGCTTGTGTGATACAGCAGTGTGCAAATCCAATTTTATTTTGGTCTGATCTAGTTTCGGAAGTTTTTTAACTGCTTTGCTCATGCTCAGAAAAAACAAGTCTGTTTCATCCTTCATATTATCCTGCTGCTGCTTTGAATGATGCTTATGGATTCTCAAATCGTGCGAAGACTTCATCTTATCATATAGATCCTGTAAGTTTAGTTTTCTAACAGGCTGTTGGGAGTGCGAGGAACTACCAGTATGTGGTGTTGCTGGACGAGAATTGTCTGATTGAGTACTTTCTGAGTGAAA